AAGTATCCAGGGCAAATCACGATAACAAAATAATAACTTTATAATAATAATAAAATACAAATCTCTCTCACTGATTTCTCACTGTTTCTCTCTCGCTGGTTAGTCTCGCATGCTTGTTAATCACGTGACCCATCACAAAATATGTCGATGTTCGTCTTGGCTTCGTAAAGCTCCGTAATGAGCCCAATTCGCTACACTTCGTCTGCAAACTTCGTCTGCAAACTTCGTCTGCTAACTTCGTCTGCTAACTTCGTCTGCTAACTTCGTCTGCTAACCTCGTCTGCTAACCTCGTCTGCAAACTTCGTCTGCAAACTTCGTCTGCAAACTTCGTCTGCTAACTTCGTCTGCTAACTTCGTCTGCTAACTTCGTCTGCTAACTTCGTCTACTAACTTCGTCTACTAACTTCGTCTACTAACTTCGTCTACTAACTTCGTCTGCTAACTTCGTCTGCTAACTTCGTCTCCTAACTTCGTCTCCTAACTTCGTCTCCTAACTTCGTCTCCTAACTTCGTCTACTAACTTCGTCTACTAACTTCGTCTACTAACTTCGTCTGCTAACTTCGTCTGCTAACTTCGTCTACTAACTTCGTCTGACGAAGAGCCTGCGCTAAAAACGTCGAATTTCTCGTTCTATTTTTTAGGTAGTTGCATCCCTACGAACCGAAGTTGTGTTATTATTGGCACTACCTACACTGGCACAGACAGTTCAAGGTTATGTCATGGTAGTGCATATAGCAGTTAATTTAACAAATTAATTCTTACAACAACTGTACATTTTTATACCTTATATTTTTCTTTATCATATCTATCATGTATAACAACGAATCTCAAATCAAATCTCCTAAAAAAGATACATTAAAGTAACTTAGTGCCTTAACTAAACACCAGATTAACCTTGTAAACCATACATTAATTAATTGGTAATCTTGCATCTCGTGTGGAAAATATGGAAATGAATGTACTTCTTACAACACATAATACAAATTGAAATATAATGGCGTACTTGCACATTTCAAATAAATAGTCAGTTTCTTCCTTACTCCATCCTGACTGAGATGAATCAACAAGGTACATCTATGTATGAAATACGAAACCATATTAAACGTTGGAAACGTGCGAGTAATGAGTTTCTACGCACTATTGGTTTCATCTGTATGGGTTAGTCACGCCTTAAATACAGGTAGTTGGTAATTAGTTCTGGTCTATGGCAATATTGGTAGCATCGCGCTTTCTCGGTTCAGCTATTATGACGCTTCGTCTCCCCAAACTGATTTCCGCACAAGTAAACTACCCTACCCTTCTATGGCGGCCGTTCTATTAGGCACTTGTTGCTTGGTATTATAAGTAACAGTCTCTGATAAATAGTCAAAGTTTGTGGATCGCAGGTTGTTAGTACAGTGTATCTGTTTTTATTTTGGGTGGAGTCTGTGGACTCCAGATTTGAACTTCCACTACCACTGTTCTTCTGGGGCAAATTGTTCAAATCTGGACTAGCGCTAACCCTGGGTTAATTAAAATTTTACCTGATATTGATTGGGGAGCTTTTCATTTACATGGTCAGAATAACCACACCACGACCTCATTGGCGGTAGGTCTGACGGGAAAATTTGGATGCTCTCTCAGTGGAGGTCATATTTTACAGTAAGCAATATGGAGACATTATCTACCTCATACTCCTCATTTGTGTATTCTGGTACATTCACTTTCTATATGTAATGAAAAATGTTCAGTAGTTAATACAAAGTAAAAATTTTAGTAGATGAGCTATCTAGTATTTAGTCATGGCGAGTTTTGTCCGTACAGACAGTGAGACAGGTAATATTTATGAGACAACTTATCCGATTTGCAGCTTTTCTAGAGGAAGAAATAAACTTATAAAAACTCTAAAGCTGCAATAATTCAGATCTCAACCCCCGTACAGTACCTCAAACAATCAAAGAGATTATTAAAAACACTTTGACGTTTTGAACGAATGCTGTTCGTCAGGATGACTATTATATGGAATTTGATTTTTTTGTAGACTACTACAAGACCCCACGTTTACACCATTTCAATAGACCTTTCCCCTTATGAGTGTAATTTTGATCTAGATATGCCTGGACAAAAATTTCATCACAGCTTGAAAGAGCATCACAAAATTAGTAATATTCCGAAGTTTCGTTGCGAAATGTTGTAAAATGCGGATAATATAGCCTTGCGAAGTTTGCCGTTTTTCAGTACAGGAAATTGATAATCAGATGATCAAACTGATTATCAATTTCTCATTTGTAATACAAAATGACTGAAAATTGCAAACTTCGCAAGGCTATATTATCCGCATTTTACAACATTTCGCAACGAAACTTCGGAATATTACTAATTTTGTGATGCTCTTTCAAGCTGTGATGAAATTTTTGTCCAGACTTGTCTAGATCAAAATTTCACTCAAAAGGGGAAAGGTCTTGGGAAACTCTTGACCAACGTCGTGCTAAACAGCTCGCAACAAGTATTTATAAAGCAGTGAATAATTTATATCCCAACGAGCTTAATACTATTTTTGAACCTACCTCGCAAGTCCACTCTCACAATCTTAGAGGTAGTTCGCACAGTATGTTCACCCTAGACCCAGAACGGAGGCTGGTAAAAGGAGCTTCGGCTACCGTGGGGCTGTGTTATGGAACGATCTTCCGGATGAAATAAGAAGTCAGGCTTCAATATATCTTTTCAAAAATAAACTTTCTAACTTTCAAATTTAATACTAAGTTTAAGTAGTTGTAAATAATGATAGGATTGTATATATATTTAGCTAATTTCTTTTGTTTTTGTATTTTTACATGGCTCCTTGGAAGAGCACTTTAGTGAAAGGACACCATGTTACCTATTTATGTATTTTTTTAATAAAGCTTCATTGATTGATTGATTGATTGTCTATTGACCTTAGAAGTCCTTATGTCACTGTCAAACAATGAATAGTTAACCCACATGTATCCCACATTGCATTGCGTATACTGTACCTAATGTTTACGTGGACCGAAAATTGCATGACGTAAGAAGTTCTAGGATCAACTGAAACCATGAACAACCTTTGGGCAAGCGTTAAATTGTCAAGGTCTGTATACGCGATACGATTAGTCATATACGATTGTCATTCCTCTTCTTTTAGTTTATGGCGAAATTTCTTCACACGAATTTATTCGTTTAGACGATTACATACGCCAGAGTAAGAATTGTATACGACTGATCGTATCGTGTGGCCTCTACGACAATTACTTTTTTACTCAATCAACCACGGCCTTATTTTGTGCACCCTATTGTAACTCGGCAGCCGCAGAACAGATAGCTCTATGGATTGAGTATAATGTCAATAATAAATATTATAGCGAGTAGTATAAAGCAATAAAACCATGCAATTACCCAAAGTGCACACACCCAAAGTGCACAATAATAATATACTGTACACTTAATGTCTGCAACTAAGTAGGCACATTGTCTAGTACTAACCTTATTAAATTTAGCGAACGGATAGTCTTTGCCTTCATCTGCTGATCTTCTCCAGTGATAAAATACAGCTCCATCTGTTCGAGCTGGATTGGTAAATGGCGTCCATTTCCAAGCACGTGCATTTTTCCTCCCAAGTTTAGCCTTCACCTGTTTATATCCTTGCGCAGTATCACTTGGGGCCAGTGCAGCGGGACCTCTACATTACCATCAAATACAAAATAGGGATATATATATATACAGCGTATACGACATCACAGCCGCCGTGTTGGTGTTCCAATTCAAAAGAATTTTAATGAGACTATTTTGTCTGGAACACCAACATGGCCGCCATGGCTTTTGTTGAGTTGGTTCCTGGGGAATGAATGCAAACGCTCTATTAATAGTGAGTTTAAGGAGTTTAAGATACCCCGGTTTCGGTGTACGGGTAGTGTCATCTTGTTTACTAGTTTTTACTGATGTCTATAATTTGATCATACTTTTTCTGTTTTCTTGCAATAGACAATGATATAATGCAAAAAATGTGCACCTTAATTACGAGTAAAGGTACAGACATCGACGAAAATATTGCTAACCAAAATCATGCCACCCCTACCCGTACACCGAAACCGGGGTATCTTAAACTCACTATTATTCTAAAAAGCGTACGATGGTTCTTGAGATATTTCACCAATTTTTGGGGGATTTTTTTTTTGTCTGAAATATTCACACATTTTTGTAATTCGCTAATAAACTTTACAATTTTGAAAGGAAATATTCAACAACCTTTTAGACATCCTGGGACTGCAGGAACAATTTAGGGGATTTTCAGAGATGTCGGCGAGATTGTTTGATTTTTTATGAAACATGGTTCTCAAATTTCGAACGATCTTTATTAGTTCGCCATGCGTTCGCGTGGAACGCATTAAAACTGGACGACTGAATCCGAGCACAGCTAACCGGTACGAATTTCCGTGTGGCCAAATGCAACCAGACATATTTTGCGTTAATTGGGATACTCGATAAATCTGCATGTGGATTTTCGTACTACATAACTATATTTTTTTATAATTCTAGATCTACATGTATTTGTGAAAAACGAAAGTCTTGAAACAGTACCTGCTGTCACTATAGAGCAAGGCATACAGTTCTCGATGCATTCCTTCAGGTCTCCGATAAGCTTCGACATGTCTCTTTGGCTTTTTCTAAGTAAGAATGAATTTTGAGAGATTACTTATACCATATGGACAAGACTGGATTTTGGTGAAAGTGGTGGGGAGGTGGAAAAAATGTAGGGGAGGTGCAGCGGTCTAGCTCACAGCCATCGTGGAATGTTAGTGCTCATAATGTACCCCACCCCCAACTACGTGACATATGCATGTACTGTACATATATCAGTGTATTTATGAATTATGACTATACAACTCAGCCAATTTTCACTTCATTACATTACACTAGGGACCTTTAGCTAGCAGGACGGCGACGGCTACCAGGTGATCCGATGGTGAGCAAAAGGACTGGGACTAGCAACAGAATAGAAATCCAGTTTCGTACCTTTAATCACTTATCACGCCCTGATTCTTTTGTGAAACTGTTTGAAACTTTGTGTCTGTGTCTTGCACAGGGAAATGAATGTCTGGGACAAATTTGAAATACAAATCTAATACCGTTGATGAGATATTGAGTAATTTTAAACCAGAAATGGATTTCTATTTTACAACTAGTGCCAGGCCTTCTCCGAGTTCCGAGATCACCTGGTATTAATACAATGAAATTTATGACAGTGTAGAAAGAAAATGCATAATTCAAGGTCCCTTGGGAGTTTTAGACGTCGTCCTTGCTCTGTTTACAACAGCAAACCAAAGATTTTCACGTTTTGTACACAACGTCTGCCTTTCAAGCCGCGAGAAGTCGTCCTCGCCATATTGGCTTAGTAGAAGTCTTCTCAACTATAAACCTCTGTCTTAACCTTATTAAACTGCAAAAAATTCATACAACGGATAATACAAGACATGTATGTTGTTCTTAAAGTTTAATATACTTATTTGAACGAGTTTGTTTTGGCCGTCGTCGTCGCGTTGCCGTCACCTATTTGCTAAAGGTCCCTACTATCTCAGGGGAGGTACGCGCCTCCCCACAACCGCCCGTCAAACTACTTTCAATTATTCAGAAGTATGTTTAGTGAAAGAAGACAATGGACTGTCGCTGGGCTCTATAAATGTACGTTTGAATCCTTAACTGTGATGTGATGTAAATTTTATACTGTAGCTTAAGAATTAAAAATGAAATTTGAATAAAAAGCAAACTGTAAGGAAAATATAAGTTGTACTTGATTATATAGATATATTAATTAAGAGGAGGGGTAGTCTACACAAGGAAAAGGCAATGCAGGAAACTGTTTTATTTTACATATGAAAAAGGATATTTTATACAAATCCAGTAGAAAGCAAAAAAAATGAGCAAAATGACTAGAAATATGTAAGGATACTGTAGGAGGAAATGTGACAACCATTGACAAGGTCTTGCTGAAGTGAACTGCGGAATTGGGTTAATTTTTAGTATTTTTTACAATGTTAAAGAGATTAGATCTCATTATTGAAAAGAATATAGGATGTTTCAGATAACTTTTTAAAATAACCAAATTCCACAAACTGTTACTCCGACTTTGATATGGAAGAGATGAAACTTAAGGAAGCTGTCATTTAAGATGGCTTAATATCTTGATCCTCACAAAATCCCTTAAAGGCAAAACTTCATGCTATAGAACAAACCTATGTGTGACTATTCATGTCTGTGGGAATAGGAATTAAAGAACTTCCAATGAGACCAGATGCCATCTTAAGGTGGTTCAATACAGTTTTCAAGAAATTATGGTGTGTATATTATAACAGACACATCCTTTGAAATGTAGAGCTATGGAATTTACAATTTATTTAACATAATACTGATTTTGTTAACATTCTTTCATTTATAATTTATTTAATCCATTAAGTTGCACTAATGCCAAACAATTTTACTTGTAAGGGGAGAGCATTGGCGCTCAGTGGGTTAACCAGCTTCAAACTATACTCAGTTCAGCCATGTCGCTCAACATTAATGTATCCTAGGAAGAAATGTTCTAGAGTGAATGAATTAAAATGTATAAAATGCTATTGACAAACAGATACTTTATCTCATACCTAGCGTATTAGCGGCTTTCCTATTGGCTACGAGGAGATGCGTTCAATCTCGAACCCACCTGCTGACGTATGTTTAGGAGGTGGGTTCGAGATCGATGTTGCGGCGGCGGCCATTATGAAGCGATTTGAACAAATTTCCGACGAAAATGTTCATAAATAAAAAATAAATTAACTGTTTTTAATTGTTTTATATATAATTATTATTTTTTTTATTTTGTTTGATGAAAATGGAATATTAATTCTGTATTCAAAGTGGAAGAAAAGATGGCCGCCGAAATTTGTTCGGCACGGGCAGGTTTATATAAATCTTGGCAATGTTTTCGCTGAATGTGTGCATTTTCTCTTTTCAAGAATACGGGAATATTGTAGAGAATTTTTTTAGCTTTAATTTAAGCCTAAATTTGTTTGTTTGTTTGTTTGTTTGTTTGTTTGTTTGCGTAGTATGTTGGCGGCTAAAATGTTCGTTATCCAAACAAGAAATTCTATACTAAAAACTAAAATGCGTATAAAATTCTTCAGTACTTTTTAGTATTTTACCGAAATGGCACGTGATAAAAACCAAACATACTTGCAGGTTCGGTGAGTCCGGGATTGGACGCACCTCGGGTGGCTGGAAGTTTCCCGAACTTTAATACCTCGCTTCGCTCAGTGAGTTCGGGAAACTTCCAGCCACCCTCGGTGCGTCCAATCCCGGACTCACCTCCCTGCAAGTATGTTTGTTATAGTATCATCCCACAATCAGAGACTTGTTCCGCAATTACTTTGACCCCCTTTGACACGGACAACATGCATTTGACGTTAGCGCTTAAACGGCTGCACGGCTTAATTATTGCTCCTTAAAACTCTAGTTTTATTTAGCCAACTATGGCTATTTACTACAGTCAAATGGATCTTGGTGACCTTTCTTACTCTAAAGACTTATGGCAATAATAACTTATTCTAGAACTGTTTTATCGTCGATTATTTCCTCGAAGTGTTCTGTCACCCAAGTCGATTGTTCAGTATGGCTGAAGCTAAAAGGTTTTGACCTAAACAAGTCACTTACACGTCGCGGATGTAGAGCTGGCGTACGCATGCAAGCAACGTCCAATATGCAATAACAAGCTTAATTGGTTTGGGAAAGTATTCTAACACTTATCTACATTATAAACGTTCATCTTCGTCCTTGAACAATGTTACCCAAATCCCAGGCTATAATGACATGCGGAAAGATCGTTTAATCGGTCAACACGGTGGAGTCTGCTTATACATCAAAGTCTCGATTCCCTACGAAGTGCTTGACCAGTTTCACCATCCATCCCTGGAAGTTTTGTGGGTGAAAACCAGGCCACATCGCCTGCCTAGGGGCTTGTCTTGCATAATTGTCGGCACTGTTTACCATCCGCCCTCAGCCCACGCCGAGACTATGATCAATTATCTGCTCGAACAGCTCATCTCGATGGAATCTACTTGCCCCAAATGCGGTTTTATAATCCTTGGCGATTTTAATACCCTCGACGTTGCCCGAATTAAAAATCAATTTCGCCTGAAGCAACTTATCCAATTCCACACAAGAGGCAATCGGACCCTTGACCTCATTTTGACCAACTTGGAGAAATATTATCAACCCCCTGTTAAATTACCACCACAGTGACCTTTCAGATCACTTCACCGTCCTTGCGGAACCAAAAATTCGGGGTGATAACCAATCCAACAAGAAGACAAAGCATTCGAGAGACCTGCGTCCCAGTCGAAGGGCTGCTATGAGTGCATTCATCAACGAAATCGACTGGTCCATCCTATATCATTATCACTCTTGTGAAGAAAAGTGGGCTTGTTTCGAATCAATCATCAACACTGGAATGGACATTCTCTTACCTGTGAAATCCACAAAGCTGTGCAATAATGAACCGCCATGGATGAACTATCACCTAAAGTCTTTAATCAGTCAGCGACAACTTGCCCTTGCCTCTGGAGACATACCCAAATTCCGTCAACCGTGAACAAAATAAATGCCGAATGAACTTCTTCGAGTCCAAAATTAAGCAGCTTAAGTCTTCCAATCACAAACAGTGGTGGAATTCAGTTAAAGAAATATGTGGTATGAATCCAGTTTGTCGTACAAATGACTTCAGCCATCTGATTGATCCCAGTGGTGAATCTAACTCTCAGACCCAGTCTCTACCTGACCTGGCAAACACAATAAACCTACCCTTTCTGGCACCTATTGTGAAAACCGTCTGCCCTCATCCTGGAAGATAGCTGACGTATCGCCTATTCCGAAACAGAAGCCTGTTTTAGACGTTTAACAGCTCAGACCAATCTCCCTGACTCCAGTTATTTCTAAACTGGACGAAGTATTCGTGGTTGATCGTTTTATCAAATCTGCAGTCCTTCAAATTATCGACCCACGGCAGTACGGTGCGATACCCAAGCCTTCAACAACACAAGCTCTCATAAGTATTGTTTACAACCTCACAAAAGCAACTGATGGCAACAGCTCCCTCGTTAGAATTGTCCTATTCGATTACAGAAAGGCCTTCGACCTTATCGAATATCGATCACCGCATCCTGGTCGCAAAACTCCACACTTTTGACATTCCTCCTGAGATGATAATCTGGGTTTCCGACTTCTTGACCAATCGATAGCAAAGAGTCAAGCTAGCCTCCGATTGCTATTCCGAATGGGCTGCAGTCCCAGCCGGTGTGCCACAAGGTACGAAACTCGGACCTTGGCTATATAGTCTCGTGATTAACGATCTCAATGCCAATGGTGTCGCATGGTGTCGAGCTTTGGAAATTCGTAGATGACACCACCAAAGGAACCACTAGTGGAACCACTTGCGACCGATGAGATTCAAGACCAGTCAACCGACCTAAAGTTTACCCTGAACGAAGACAAGTGCATAGAGATGCGTGTGTGTTTTGCCAAGTCTGAACAACCTGACATTTCACCTGTGAGAATTAAAAACAAAGAAAATGATCAAATTTCTTCTGCAAAAATATTAGGCCTAACCATCCGAAACTATCTCAAGTGGAATGATCACGTGTATTCAATAGTAAAGAAAACATCAAAGCGCTTGTACTTTTTGCGGCAACTTTTAAAGCGCCCAAGCAAGAGTATCGGCAAAGGAAATGGTCCTTTTCTACTGCACGTGTGTACGCCCAATCCTCGAATACGCCTCCCCAGTGTTTCACCACAATTTGCCACATTATCTAAGCGAAGATATTGAGAGAATTTAACGGCGTGCACTCAAGATCATTCTTCCGGACTTGTACTATAATGAAGCTCTAGCCAAATCAGGTCTCTATAACCTTAATGAAAGGTGGGAAACACTGTGTGATAAAACATTTAGCAGAATTGTGAGAGACCCAGACCATAAATTTCACGCGTTACTACTACCTATGATCAGCGAATGCCAATATATAAACCTACGGAACAAGCGACTGTTTAGGTTACCAAGATGCACAAATGAACTGTTTTAAAAACTCTTTTATAATCGCTAGCGCAAGTCGATATTAATTTCGAACCTTAATATCTTAACAATTTTAACATTTCTAAATTAATATAATTCCTATAGCCGTAATTCCTAGTTTAATCTTAATATTAGCTTAGAGTTGTATAGATTTATTTATAAGGAAATTGTAATTTTTTATCAATCATATTAATTTAGCTGCATATGTAGCTGCAAGTTTTGGAATTACTAATAAACTATCTATCTATCTATCTATCTATCTATCTATCTGCCTTCACCATTACCCATTGAAAACCAGTTAATGTCGTTTTTGCACAGAAAAGCCAGTTCTCATGGACCCAGAAATTTCGGGTTATTCTCTGTTAGAATCTCCTTTCCAACACAGAAGTGACAGAACAAGTTTATCATTGTGAGAGAGGGGGTTATGATGAGTTGACATCGGATTGTTCACCAAACATGCTCTGTATGATATGGAATATTTAAAGCCTAACAAAAAATATTGTGTGGGTCAGGCCTGTTCTCATCCTCGTACCCAGGATCCGGAGCCCTAGTGTTCAGAGAAAATAGCTGGGTATGAGGTTGTTGGTTTCACATACTGAAAAAATATAGGGCAAGTACTGTACATTGTAGGTTGGAAAATATTTATTTCTTTTGCTTGAAATTGGTCAGCAATGGCCATAAGTGTGATCAACTCATTTCCCCAACACATAAACATTTTAAGAACTAATTGTGGGCAATGGATGTCAATTTTTGGCATCCTGTTGTAGGTAAGCTAACAACCCAAACACATTAAAGAAAAAACAATGATCAACAGAAGAGGGTCTATCAGGAAAACCGGAACCACAAGATATTTTTGTTAGGCCAAAGTAATTATTCCATTAAGGGGCCATTCACAAAGGATGTCCGAGCCGAGGGGGGGAGGGGGATTTGGAAAATCAGGACAAACTCGGACATAGGGGGGGAGGGGTTTTTTTTAGCAATCCGGATGTCCGAAATTTAAAAAAATTCAAAAACAAATTTCTTTTTCCCTCTATTTTGAGCAGTCCTTCCCATTGTGAAATTGGCATTTTGACAATGCGGTTAACACTAGATTTTGTTTTAATTAGTAATTTATATGTTTTTGTGTTCACATTTACAGTTATAAAAAAGTTCTAAAAGTAAAAAAAGTTTTTTACTCTTGATATATACAAGGTTGCGTGAGTTTTTGCGAGGCATGGCGGATGTCCGGGGGGAGTCACTAATTTGGACAATGCCGGACAAGGGGGGGAGGGGGGGGTCTGAAAATCCATCATTTGGCCGGACATCCTTTGTGAATGGCCCCTAAGCTGCATAGCTTCCCCATTGACGAGTAAAATCATTTAGCATTAGACAAGTAAAAACAAATAAGTAGGGTGCACTGGGACTGTGGCGCATTGCAGCTCAATGAGTTAACTAGAGACAATGTCAGATTTTTTGGTTAACCCATTAAGCTGCAGAGCTTTCCCATTGACAAGTAAAATCGTCTGGTGTTAAATAGACAAGTAAAAAAAAGTAGGGCGCACTGGGGCACATTGCAGCTCAATGGGTTAAACTATGTGAAAAATCTTATGATGGGTGGGGAAAGCATGTGTTCATATTGTGAAACCGGGGAAAACTTGCTGAGTATTTGGGCCTGAGAGCTTGACATCCCAACTCACAGAGCTTGAAATCCCAACATCTGACATTAATACATGCTGCTAAGTTTGTCATGTACACTGAAGATCCTGCACATGCAATTTTGCCATCCCAGGTGTACACTTTTAATAGAGAAAACATTTTTGGCATGTACTTATGCACATATCAACGGCCTGCCCGGGGGGTACACCCCCGGGACAACCGGGGGGAAACGAGGGGGAATTTGGTATTTTATCCGTGTATTCTGCCCGTGAACCCCGGGGAAATTACAAACTTCGCACTAATAGGACGACGGGGGGAGGGGAAGTAGGGGACTTTGGCGTGACAATTTGAATTTTATAAATGAAGTGAACAATTGGTGCGAACTCAAAATCGCAGGCTCACGGAGAAAAATATCGATCGCCAACTTATTATCTATGATATTTTGTAGTGGTCTTGCTAAAATTTGAATAAATAAATACAGAATACATGAGTGCCATTGTGATACCCCAGTTTGTATGATAATTTCAGAAAAAAAGGTTTTGTCCGTTAAACGTAAATTGGGAAAAAAAATTTTGACCGATCAAAGTCCTTGCATGTGTAGGAATAAATAGTGTTTTTTCCAACGTGTTTCTTCTTAGATGCAAACAACAGTGGCTTGGTTTTTTCTATTTCATTTCCGGTGAATGAACACGGATGCACACCGATGGCACTTTGTTTTGTGCATTTCATTTCAGTGAATACACACCCAATATGAATGAAACGCGATACATTTTGAGTAGTTAATGGAAAAAGTAAATAAAACGTTCTTTGATATAATAATATAAAATCAAATGCAATGCACTTTCTCATCAGAAAAAATGAAAATCTTCCAGTAGACTCGGTTGGGAAAGCCCCTTAGCTACTTCAATTGGGAAGAGTCCGTCAAATGGACAGTATATGGGCTAGCTAACACCCCGAGTTTTTAATTGTTTGTATGCTATTTATATTATGAACTACTTTATTCTAAGCCCCAGGGGGAGGGCAGTTTGACTTACACATTTCCCGGGGGAGGGAGGGGGAATTAATGCATTAGAATCATGTTTTTTCAAAGTCCCGGGGTGTACCCCCAGGGCAGGCCGTTGATATGTGCATTAGGTAAGGTAGCAAAGTTAGCAGAGAGCCTCCAAACTCCAAAGAGTAGATTGGCCTTGTGTAATGGGCCTTATCCATATTCAAGTTGCTAAAACACAGTTGTTTGTACTAAATTTTTCTTTCTCTGTCTGTGAGTCTGTCTTCTGTTTTCAGTGTTTTGATACTTCACCTTATTTCCAGCAACAATAGCCTCTTTAGTCGGTGTTCCTGTGGACGCCTGTTCAATCTCCAATATATCCTTTACGTCACTCATCTTTTGAAAGTATAAATATACCAAGAGGTGTACTTAGTTTTCCACAAAACGTTCAGAAACTACCAAATCACTGAATCTTGAAATAGAGGAATTGGTCGCCATCTTGGAAAACTGCGCCAGGAGAATGGCACTAGATCAAATCTGATCAAATATGGCGGACAATTCAAAGCCAATTATTTCAACAAAACAGGTTTGTGATTGAAACATTGAACTACTAGTTCAATGGATTGAAAGGAATAAATATACCGTATACGATTTCTTTGTTATGACGCTATAAAGTTGCAACACTGTTGCAACTAGTGCATGTACATCGATAGTGATACTACTGTGTCAATGGCATTGAAACAAAATGAAAACTATGAATACAAAATGTATATTGACATAGTTTTATCATGGTCCATGGATATTTTAATTTAATACATTGCTGTATATGAAAAACAAATGTTTTAATAATCCATTGTTTTACACTATGCTGTTTAATATACACACACACGCTAATATAATACACTGTTACATGTTGATGTAGCGTTTAACATAAATATTGCTACATGGTGTTTAAGATACCATACTAAATGGTTTTAAGTTTTATAATATAAAATTCTAAATCCTATCCACTGTTAGTCCGATAAAATGAAATGCCCAAAAATCTTGCTGTTTTAATAGTATATACCATGTTGCATAGCTTATATTTAATTAACTGTTTTTATTAAAAAAATACAATAGTCCTCCATCCTTGTCATACCCAAGACATACATAAGATATGCTCTTAACCCTTTGAGTTGCCTCCTAATGCACCTACTCTTATTTTACTGTCTAACTCCAGATGAATTATTGAGGAGAGCACTGCCACTGGACAGGTTCTCAATGGGTTAATTTAAACTTGAAAATGTTGTTATGACGTTTTTCTAGGTATCATGCAAAATCAACGATATTTCAACAGATTTTGTTTGCTCAGATTTTGGTGATAAATACTTTGTTCTGATCACACAGTTTGGTAAAATGGGAACTCTAGTAAGTTAACATTTGGAAAAGAAGACAAAAATACATCATTAAATTTTCACACGAATGTTACAGCAGCATCAATAGCAACGAGCACGTATCATTTCTAAAAATAGTAAGAATAGCGATCTAAGCTATCCATAAAAAATCTTAAGTAATAATTATGATTGGAACGGTTATTATTACCTAATTAAAAGAATTGGCATCAATGCGTTTTTCCCAATTACGTTTAACTACCAATTTCCGGCCAATTTAGGTCGAAAAATAACGTAAATATTATGAAAAAAGATTGTTCAGCTTCAGAACTTTGTTCAAGAAGAATTAGGAACCAGATCAGCATGCAGAGCTGTCACTGTAGGGGGTGGGGTGTATGAAGGAATAGTTATAGCAAAAATGTTAACAAATTTACAAAAATGACTGAAAAATTTAAGTACATTAATTATGTAATGCGAAAGTTATTGAAAAATGGTATGTCCGGAAAAAATGTCCCCCCCCCCCTTGCTCGCCAACAATTTTGGGACTGAATAAATATTAATTAGCGACTGAAATGTTGTCCGCAAATGCGATACTACCCTGCTTTAGCCTCTTCGCTACGGCTGCAGATCAGTGACTAGCGTAAAAAAATTTGTGTGTTTTTCATAAAAATGCAAAACAATGTCAGTTGGCTTGCACTTCAAATTTTTCACTTTATTTGAAAAAAACGCGTCATATTTCGTGTGAAAACATCCAGGAATGTGACTACATTCCTAACCTCGTGAAATCGACAATTTGGAAATGGCGACATATGATTGGCGAAATTGAAAAAGGTGAAATTGCCGAACTGTTCAATGAAAATTTTCTTAAAGTTGCCGATGACGTTGGACTTATTAGTGAAAGAGATTACGGTAAAGACATACAGAGGACCATCCAAGCATTAAAGCCATTCATCAGCAAAATAGAGACTCGGGCATGCCTTTCTGTTTTGAATTTCATCACACAAATGAAGGTGAGGTAAAAAACCTACTTTCAGCAATAAATGTTCGAAAATCGTGTGGTTATGACATGTTATCGCCGAAGCTAATTAAAGAATCAGCAGATGTAATTGCTACGCCAATTGCCAACATTTTGAATGCCCTCATTAATCAGAACTGTTATCCGAGTGCTTGGAAAAAGGGGCAATTACGCCTTTATTAAAAAAAGATGACGAATTTAGCAAAGCCAACTATAGACCGCCGCAGGCCTTAAAATATCGGTCGGTCACGGACATTGTCCGACCCATTCGTGAAATTGTCTGACGTAAAGAAGAAACCACCGGACATTCTGTCCGACCAAAGTGAAACTGAGGTTTATTGTTTGTCCGACCCGATCGAGTGTATTGCTGTCCAACCGAACTGTAGCTTTGTCCAACGTAAATCAAAATTACCCTAGTCCAGGACTAGAGGCTCGTGGAGAATCAGACTAGTGTATAAAAAGTGAACTGGAAATGTTGTTTTTAACAGTTTTTGGAACTGTTACTGCTGTTCTTGGCAAGCAAGTTAATTTTGGCTTGGAAATAAATATGAATGACACAAATTGTTTAATATCTTCACAACATTTGCCTTTCAGAATTAATACATTGAGCTGATATTAATTTGTTATTTCCGAGCCACACTGAATTGAAGGTCATCGGACATCATCACACATATGTCCGACCCAAATTCATCGGACATTTTGTCAGACGGCCCTGTAAAAGATATTTTAAGGCCTGCAGACCGGTAACAGTCTTACCTGTGTTAAATAATATATATGAGAAGTTTATAATATGACTGTATCGGACTTGTTGGAACAACCTTGGAACAAGCCTGATATAGTATTAACACGGTTGTTACAAATTGTGGTGATTGTCACGTGTGTATAACTTGGGTGTGAATGTCGCGGGTTAAAGCCCGGATTAAACGAGGATGAGAGTGCATGAAAGTTGGCAGTCACGCGACCTTGAGTAACTGTTCTTAATGCTTTCCCAAGACGATCATGTGTTCTATTTAAGTTAAAACACAATTAGAACACTTCAGGCCACTTTGCACGATACGACCAGCCGTATGCGATTGTCATTCTAGCATATGAAAATGGATGATGACTAGGGTTGGACGATATTTCGATATTTTGATTTATCGCGATATTTTCAATGGCGATTATCGTAACGAAGGTAGAAACTTGAACGACGATATATCGAAATTATCGTCATGCTCGTGGACTTATTGACTTTATTATTGACTTTATTAAAAACGGTACTATTTCACCAAGATATTTACAAAAATTAAGACGGGTGATCTTCCAATAGGCCGTATATAGCTATACTAATTACATATATACTACAGTATCTAATAATAATAACTAAATTACACACAAATTACACACTTACAGTTAGACTATTTTTAAATGTAGAGATACTTGTTTTAGCTTTTATGTCAGCAGACAGATTATTCCAAGTCTCAGCTCCTCGATAGGCGAAAGACTTTTTCATAAAATTAGGTTTAGGTAATGCAAAATTGAATTCGCTCTGTCTTGTATTGTAATTATGTATTTCATTTGAGGTGATGAAAAGTTCCGTTAAGCAATTTGGTAACATGTTATGTTTGGCTTTGAACATTAGGACGGCTAAATGATGTTTTCTTCTAGTCACGAGATTTGGAAAACCGACCTTGTTCAAAACATCGATTGTACGTGTATCATAGTTTTCACGAGTTATTATTCGAAATGCTCTCTCTCGCATGTGTATATAGCTTTTATAAAAACCCTAAAAAATTCCTTCAATTTCTAGAAAATGTAGTTTTTAAAAGAATTCAAACTAAAAGAATCAAGTACGAATTTAATACGACATATTGGTTAATTCCTGGTGTTACGGTCACCAATATACCATTCTAACTTTTATACATCCTAATAATCCCCACTTATCACTGGTAATCTAGTAATCCTTGGTAAACTAGTAATCCTTGGTAAACTAGTAATCCTTGGTAATGTAGTAGTCATTGGTAAGTTAGTAAGCCTTGGTAAGTTAGTAAGCCTTGGTAAGTTAGTAAGCCTTGGTAAGTTAGTAAGTCTGGGTCAGTTAGTAAGCTGCTGAACAATGAAATTGCAGGCTTTGCTTGCGCTGTGTGCCCATGGCGCATTTGTGTCTGCGGAGACAAAGTAGACACTGCATAGACAGTTCAGGTTTATATGAACAGTAAATTTTAGACTAGAAAAAGCCTTCATATTACTTTAATTTGTTGTTTTACTTGTTTTTAATAAGATTATATATAAGCTTACTATGCTTTGATATTAATTAAAATTGAAAAATGTGGTCATTGTTTTTATTGCATTTATCGCGACATTATCGAATATCGTGATAATTTCCTCGACAATAATCGTGAGATGATTTTTTTAATATCGCCCAACCCTAATGATGACCTATTCCATCAGTTTATGGCGAAAATATAATGTGACATCGTCACACACATTTATTCAACTACATACGCCAGGATAAGAATCGTATAAGATCAATCGTGTAGATGGGCCTTTATCAAACCATTATTTTGTTAATCCGGAGCTCGAAATGTCTTTCCCCTGTAACAATGCGTGACTGCCAACTACCATCAACTCTGGGGTGAAAGTTAAAAGCTATATGCATTCATTCAATGTACATGTCTATAATTAGCATCAATAAACAGAGCAATTAAAAATCATAGTTTTCAGACAATTTGAAGAATGTATTTCAATTGCATGTAGGTACAGATTGGTAAAGAATTTGATTTGAACAATGGAGAGACGGAGAATGTTGATATTAAAGTTTTGTTGGGCAAAGATGAGGTTTGTGGAATTGTGCCCAAATTCCAGTCTGCAATTTTAAAGATAGGGTACAGTCCGGTCTGCGCATGCGCACATAGGATACATATGGACACTATATACACATAGGACACTCCTGCCGTGATATAAACACTTTAACTAGGTTTTTATTTCATTTTATGTTCTTGCAAAGCCTGATTGTTGTATCTTGATCATTTATTATACTGTAGAAGCATGAAAATATAAATAGTTGTCGAATAAAGTTCAATATTTTGAATACCGAAATGTAAACAAAGGCTTTGTTTACATACGGACTGTACCCTTACCTTTAAGATATTATACTTTGTTGGATTTCTGGATTTTTTTTTGAAAGTGGGATAGCATTAAAGCCTTTAAATTGAAATAAACTAAACATGCATGGCTGTGGAAATTGGAGAGCCATGAAGCAACTCTACCGCCGTAATCTAAGGGGCTATAACTCCAGATTCAAATATCAAAAACTGTGCTTTAAAAATTTTCAACTACAAGTCATCTTCAAAACTATGTGGAGAGATTAGAGCTAGCTATAGTCTAAACCTGTAGCTGTAATAAATGGCTGTTAACTCCAAAAAAAGTCTATTGGGGCAGGATCTACCGAGTCATACATCAGGGGCAGGTTGTTCAAAGCTGGACTAGCGCTAACCCTGGGTTAAAATTTAACCTGCTGTTTTAGTTTGTGTATTTCTGCACGTCTGTTTATTTGAAAACGTCAGAGAAGAAAACTCCTATCGATCCAGACAAGATCTCTGAAGAAATATTTCCAAATTTCTAAACAAGCTGTCGGGAAGTTTGCTTTGAATTTTAGGTTGACCTACAATTCGAGACAAATAATACGCGGACACTGATTAAAAATGGCTGAAGTTTAAGGCAATCAAATATTTGTACGCATATCCAGCCGTATTCCCCGCTGCCCCGTTACAATGTTGTTGGTACAAATACCGCAATAGTTGCCATAATGACTGTTCATCAAGTGTTCATCAACATTGTTTCAAGGGAGGGGGGACCAACTTTACGAAGTATATATGAAAATGTTGCAAAAAATACTATTTATTTGCCATGTTTGTCCGAGTAAATTTGTCTATGACTGTAGGATTAAGCTAATGCAGCTTTGAACAACAGGACCATTCTCGTTCCCAGGCTACAAGTTTTGGTTCGCTTGGTACATGTTAAATGGTCTGAACGAACCAAAAAGGAAAAGTCAAACCAATTAGGAGTGAATTTACAAAAGAATATCTTTATAGTGGGTAAATTTAAATTAATGATTTTTTTAAATTCATTATTTAAATTTCACTCTGTATATTTTTGAGGAACAGGCTTAGAGCTCGTATCGTACTCAAATAATCCCATTGTGAACATGTTTGGTATATATTCCCGTCGCTATGTTGTTGTTGAAAAATTGTTTAATTAATATCTCTTTATAAAGCCCTTGACATATGTGTATGCAAAGCAAATTGGAAGTTCGCTGTATGGCCGTGGAATTCTGAGACCAATTCTCTTGGGTATTGCGTTAAAAGATCAAACGCCGGAGATGTTGAAACAGGTGGTTCAGTTCATCAGCGAAAGTAATATTTTCTCGTAAATAGAGTGTAAAAATATGGAATGGAATACACGACTTGTAAAAAAATAATTTCATCGGCTACTTTATAATGATCTGTTACGTTGGAGAAACTTTAGTCTCGGACAGTGGCGGACACCTCGTTCGCGAAATAATAATGGGGGGGGATGTTTCCAACATCTTCTGTTGCTGGAAATCTTGCAGAGGTTCTTTAAAGATGGGGTTGAGTCTGTTCTGCGCATGTGCTATGTGAGGACCCTCTGGCACAGACTACTTATCATTTATAGACCCGGAGCGAGGGGGATTCGGCGTAATATTTCCCGAAGTGATGATATTTTCCGAGGGAAAATATCATCACTGAGGGAAATATCGCCGAATCCCCCGAGCGGAGGGTCTATAAATGATATATTGTACCAAAAGTTAAAGAACTCACTAAGTTCAGAATAAACTTTAAAACTTGCGGAATATTATAAACTACGCGAATACAATTTTTAATTTCTTATGTATACCTGAGTTTTTGACGTTTCCTCTTTAAAATATCTGAGCATATATCCCTTGGATCATTAAAGGTAACATACGTCTTGAAAATGTTTTGTTAAATCAAATATTCTGTGCGAAAATACGAAATTACAAACAACAGCTCGCGAACGCCATATTGTTTCAGAGCGTGGTGTCCGCGCGTGAGCGTGGGATACTATAGTATCCCACGGTGGATCTGCCGTGGGATATTATAGTATCCCACGTTGGATTGCGAAATCATGAATTTGAGTGAAATACCGTAAAAAATCACATTATCGCGTGGTACAAATGCTGTTTTTTCATTGGACAATTTGAATTTGAGGTATAATATTATACAGAAGTCCATTTCCGTTGTTTTTTGCGTAAGCACTATTCGTCATGATTCGTCACTCAGCAAGTACCGCAAACAGAAGCAGTCACACAGTATGAATATTTCCAGGGGGACGACTGCTTCTGTTTACGGTACTTGCTGAGTGACGAATCATGACGAATAGCACTTACGCAAAAAACAATGGAGATGGACTTCTGTATAGTATTCTGTGCCTCTGGTGTAAAGATTACTAAGAATACCTAAATTTTGCGTTATTTCGACATCTTCGAAATTGAAACTCTAATCTGTGCTCAAAATGTAAACAAACCGCACATCCACAGAACTCAGTGACTTGACCCGATCTTTAACCTTTTTGCCTTTTCTAACAACACCATATTTCTAAGTGATCTTTGTCCCGAGGGAAGAACAAATAAACTATATATATTCTGAAAATAAATGTGTAAATAGTGTAATACATGCATGTATGCAGGTGAAACTTGCACTGAAACTCGGAGAAATAAAGACAATTTAAACTAATCTTACATGTAAACGATTTTAATACACTGGACAGACACTTAATTAATTAGTCGTCTGTATGTATGTATGTAAATGTACTCTAAAGTTGGTCGTATGAGTTGGTGAAGAGCGGTATTTTTTAAAGCTTTAGTATCAAAGCGGCTTCGTTCCCAGGCTCGTTTGTGGAATATTTTAGCTGATATCGCACGAATTGTCGTCCCGCGCGCTCTTCAGGCGACGGCGTAGAAATTAAAACACCCGGACTTCTGTGCTTGTGGCCCTCAAAGGCCAGGGTATTATGGGTACGAGGCATAGATATCTTATATATATACTAGATAGTGCATCTAATTATTCTGCAATTCAAAATTTGAAGCCGTGATTACAGGCTCAGGGTATTCCCATGAAATCAGAAGATTGGTATGTTTTCTATTTCTTAAACATTAAGTTAAACCTATTCCAAATACATTTTTAAACTAATCAAATGATGAAAGTTATTGTTGTTTTTTAAGCGTTTATTAGCGAGTGGGAAACATCAACATGGCCGCCATCTATTCAAATGGGGGTGACCGCTGGAATGCCATTCTTGGCTTCAATTTTACTAAACGAGATGCGCTATCTAGTGTATATAAGATATCTATGGTACGAGGTCACTCTCCTACTGACAATGATTAAACACGAAAGGATATATAGCTATATAAAGTTAAACAGGCTTCCGCTAGCTTTCGTGTTTAATTATACGGCTCTGCGGAGGAGAGTGGTACGAGGTGTATATTGGATTTGCACATGTATAATGTATCCGGTTTCAACAATATCGATAAAATCATCGGAGTTCCCCGAGAAATAGAATATTCCGATATTCGATATGGGTAATAATATATAGGTCAATAATTCAGGTTTTTAAACATCTTGGGGCTACATTCAATACTTGGAAAATAATTTCGACGAATTTTCAAGTGAATCATACCATAGTGTCTGACAAAAGTTGAATTTGTCACAAATTACCGTTGAATATATGAATTTGTACAAACCTTGGTGATACTGTGATTTCAATATTCAGTCTATGAGTGTAAGACTGAATATTACTCTATCATGCTCAGTTTAGCGTATTATGTACACAAATGCAAAGCTAATGTGATTCCGCAGTATACAGTAATCGTGATTTCTCTAGCATTTCATCTTGTGACCCAAGGTAAGTTTCCTTATACTGAGTTTAAACTGAATAGCGTAAACCAGTCGAAGCCAAAATTTTGGAAGGCGAATCTTGGTTTTGTCATAGACATAGTTTGGTTCGGCTTTGCAAGTAATAAATGTGTCGGTGCATGATTCACAGTACGTGGTTAGTGCATGTTCTTTCATGTCTGACGGCTGAGATTTCTGCTGTATATGCAGTTGGTTAATTATACTTTCACCTCATTCGTATGTGGGAAGAGTGCCAAACAACGGGTTCTTCGTCCTGACACAGGCGCCAGGAAACCAGAGAGACTCTGCGCAGGAGCGTTCTTGCTATTGAATAGCTCTGGCACTTATTGACCCGTGGTAAACAATTGCTCATAGTGAAAGCCACTGGGTTTCATGAAGTTAAAAATGTGTGGGAACGGCACTTTTTGTACATATACAGTTTTAAAACTCACTTTTAATACTATTGTGCTTCACAGTTTTTACGGATATTTGACTAACTTGGTATAACCATGGAATGGGTGATTTGAGTAGTATTTAAAAATCAAACAGAGGCTTTGTGCACTATATATTGTGAGGAGGGTGGGGGACAATGGGATGTTTCACAGAAAATTTTGAAAATCACGCTTTCAATTACACATAAAATTAAGTTTTGTTTTGTAGTGTGTCGTCACATGGTTTTAATGTTTCATGGTAATTTTTGACAACAAAATATTAATAAACCCCAAAATGTATATAATAGATACCCTCTGCGGAGGCGAATGTAAAGTGAAGTCACGTGGCATCAACACCCATTATAATTTATAATTTATCCATTCTTCTACAGCTACCGCGAATGTTCTATATGTTTCAAAAGCTCACGGTCTCAATGACACGAACTCTTGTCAAAACATTACATCACCCTGTCGGACTTTAAATCACGTTATCAAAATGGCGACAGGTAGTGACCTGATCATGATGGACCCCACCAACACTGAGAAAATACCATACAATACGTGTACAACGTGGGAAATTACCGGAAACCTGAGTTTTAACTCTTGGAGTGGATCAGCAATTATAAACTGCTCTGGGAATGGGTTAAATTTTGAAGGCAATTCTACAACGCTTGAGTTTCAAGGGTTGACGCTTCTTGACACCTTTTTGAGAGTCTATGATGCTTCATTAACCATTAACAAGTGTTCTTTTGGTTCCTTCATACAAAATGCGGCATTTCTATACCCAATCCATGTCTCGGTTAATAACCCACTAGAAAACGTCAGAATTTACATCGCCAATACAAATTTCTTTGATAATAACACGGTTGGTGCTTTAAACGTCGTTAACCATCAAAGCGCCAAAGTTTTTGTCGAAGTTCGGAACATAACAGTCGCGAATAGTTATTTGGAAAAGGCAAATTATATTATCTTCTTTCAAGGATATGTTGACTTTAGTTTTATGAATTCTGAAATTTCGAATACGAAGTTCTCTGAAAATATATCTAATCCATCGTTGATTTACTTTTATGGATGCCCCGTCGCCAACAAACGTGAAGATGGCACAAGTAACAGCAGATTAAGTAGAAAGCTCTCACAACATGGAAGACTTGGTGATAAAGGACAGGGGTCATCAGTATTCGAGGAGGATCCAACCACCATATCATTTTCCATCAAAGGACTGAACTTTTCCTGTAATCACGCCGGAATCGTTGAAACATTATTCTGCACCAGAGGCAATGTAAGTATTACTAATACTACAGCATTACATAATACGAACAGATGGACTCTAGGTGGCTGTGTTGTGATAGATACAAGGTACAACATAGGAAGACTCGATGTTCTTTTGGAAAATAGTTCGTTTGTCTCCAACACAAACGAAGGCACAGGACCTATGGTATCTGTCGTATCTCTAAATATAACCTTTTTGTTACAAATTGCACGTTCTCTCACAACCAGGGTGGGGCAATCTATGTCTCAACATCGCGAGGTAGTAAGGTAACTATTAGAAACACTTCTGTTCAGTTCAGCAAGTCATTTGCATATGTCATGTCGCATTGTGGTGCTCAGATTTGTGTGATGTTTCGCTACCTGGATGAGTACGTTTCGTCTGTCAAAGGACAGGATAGTTCTAACTGGCCTATAGCGGATATAGGAAAGTCAACGAAGCTATGGAATGATGGACTCGTAGAGTCAAAAGAAGCTGCTTTCGTGGAAAGTAATACTGATGAACCCACCAATTTTGGAAGCACGACTGGATTTTCGGGGACAGGTGGAACACTAGATCAAAGTCCAAGTTCTAACAGGGGTGAATCTTTTCTTGAGCCTAACGCCCCAGGTTTGAAAACGATGAACGAAGTTGTAGACTTAGAGAACAGCACATTCCTGAAAAAGGTTAGATCATTAATATTGGACAATAATAAAGCTTCCAAGTCGAACAGAAAAGGTCGCTTTGAATCAGAAAGAGGAAAAATAAACGCTGGCAACTCAGAGTTACCAACCTTATCAGCTCTGGAAGATGGAGAAATCTTTGAATCAGGTTTGTTGATTGAAGATTGCGAGTTTCGTAATAACACAGGATTTGTCTCTAGTAATGCTGCTTTAGAAGTACACTCGGAACCATACATCAGTCTCGGTGGCAATTTTATTGCTCACCTACTCGTAAGAAGGTGTGTATTTATAGGGAACGTAGCTGAGGGTGGCACTGGAGCACTTTACGTAGCTGTTAATATGAGAGTCAACATTTCCAATTCGACGTTCCACAATAATGCAGGATCTGCGTCCGGTGCAATAAACTTTCGTGGTACGACATTAGTTATCCAAAATTGCACATTGGATAGCAATTCTGGTGGCTATGCCTTTTACACCCAGGCTACAGGAAGTGTGAGACTAACCAAACAAGGCACAGCCTTGATCCAAGATTCACGGGTAATCCAACGCAATATAGTCCAGGCAGTCTCGAACGTGCGAACCTATCATAGTAGCCTTGCCTTATCAAGTGATTCATTTGATAACATTGTCTTGTCGAATTCTGTGATCAAGTGCCAGTGGTCACCTTCCTTAGAGAAAGTTGTAGTTCTAGAGGTAGCACATACAAAACATTTTGTGCTGAAGGACGGTGCGTCTATCGAATGTCCTTTGGGTTATGAAATCAAACGTCGCACAATTAGTGAGTCTGAACAGAGTTTTGAATGTGATCTTTGTGCGATGGGTAGTTACAGCGTTGGCCGTGGGATATATAGGTAAGGATATAACACAAGGTAAAATAATGTTATTATCATACCATACTATACCATAACACATCGTACCATACCTTACTTTACCAATAAACAATCCAGAAGACAACATCTTCTTTCTATCTTTGCCTCCTTCACTCTTAGCAAACAGTCATATTTTTTAGATCAGTGGGAGGTCCACCCGTGAACCATAGCTATGCGCCCGTGATTATGATGACATTTTAGACTCGCTAATGCTTTCCTCTTCCGGGGTGTAAATAGCCGGGCGGAATAAGTACTCTCGTTTGTCTTCTGGATTGTCTGTGCTTTACTACTCGTTTACATATTTGCCATAATTAGTCGTACCAATTTTCAGGTGACGTCCAGAGGAGGAATGAGGGTACTTTAAAACATGAATTTACTCCATAAAACCGAAGAGTTATCGCGGTTTGAAAATGAGCTATTTTTGCTAATTATCGAATATAGCAAAAATAGCTCATTTTCAAACCGCGATAACTCTTCGGTTTTATGGAGTAAATTCATGTTTTAAATACAATTTACTCCAGAATATTTCAATGCCACTTTTTCAACACCCAAAACATGTATAAATACAATGGGAATTTAACATAAGTAAAATGCGATATATATACAAAATTATTCAAAACTTCTTTTATTAAATTACTAAACAAAAAGGTTATCAAAACATACATTTGAGAAAACGAGATCTTCACAGCAAAAATCGCAATATATTTCAACAGTTTTTAATCGAACGGCGTGTTGAGAATAAATAGCTTGAATAGCGTTCGAAAGACCCTCATTCCTCCTCTGGGTGACGTCCATGTTGACAAAAACGTCGCTTTCTTTCTTTCGCTCACTAATAACACCAGAAAGCTGCGGTTTGAGAAGGTTTCAACTACCTGAAAAACACAAGTAAAACTCCAACATTTCAAGGTGCAACTAACTTCCCGACGAAGACGAAGAGCCTTCGCTCGAAACGTCGAAGTTTTACTTGTATTTTAAGATAGTTGAATCCTTCTCAATCCGCAGCTTTCTGGTCGAGGAAAACGGCTACCTTACCTTTATCTTACAGTTCTTTATTAGTCTTGTCATTTTCGTTGGTGGAGATTTTGAGTGAAAAACTAATAAACATTTCAGACATACTGAGCTGTTGTAAAGTAGGAGGTGCAGATAGTTCGTCGCTCAAAATTGCGATCCAGGAATGTCACCTTGTTTTGGCGGGCAATATGTCCAATATTTAGATTCATTCGCATTGTTGTAACTCATTGATCACCTTATATGATATATCTCCTCGTCTTATTTCGTACGTAGATACAACAGAAATCACTCGGTGGAATGCCTACTGTGTCCTTACGGAGCAAGATGCACGAAAGGTCTTGAAGCATTACCAAATTTCTGGGGATACAAAATCCAAAACAACCCTCCAACAATACAGTTCTCTCGATGTCCAATGGGATATTGCTGCCAGGCAAAAGGCGGACGTAAAGGTTGTGTTCCGTATGACACATGCAACTCTGGTCGCCACGGTAGACTCTGTGGCACATGCCTTCCAGGTTTCACGGAAACACTCTTCACATCTTCATGTCGAAAATCCGAAAAGTGCAACGATTATTGGTTTTGGCCGATAGCGGTTATCTTCGTGTTAGGTTTTACCCTCTACCTTATTATCGAACCTGATATTCCCGCTACTCTCTACCGCAGCATCACCTGGTTTCGATCAAATCCACCTCAGGTCGCTGAACCTGACTCACCTTCGCAATCAGGTCTAGAACGCATTGTGTTCTTCTATTACCAAGCCATCGATATTCTGACCGTGCAAAGTTCCAACAACATCGTTTGGGATAACCATTTTACCCAATTCACTGTGGGCTTGTTCAATTTTGACACGCGTTTAAATCGAGAAGGTTTTGCTTGCCCTTTTCCAGGTTTAAACCCTGTTTCAAAATTTCTGTTTCACACTCTTGGCGTTTTTTCGGTTCTGTTTGCAATTCCGTTGATTTTCCTTCTACATAAGACAATGTCTTTATGTTTTCCCTTTCGCTCTGCCGAAAATGGTGTATATCTATCAGCCTTACTTAAAAATGTGTTTCTGGGCTACACTGTACTGGCTAGGAACAGCTTAACTCTACTGCATTGTGTTACTGTTGAAGGTGTAAATTGTTTGTTTGTGAATTGTAACATAGAATGCTACACTTGGTGGCAAAAACTCATAGGCACTCTGGTTCTTATCTATTTTCTACCATTTGTATTGGTTTTATTCTTCGGCGCTAAAAAACTGTATCGAAGGCACATCACTGTAGCTCATTTTTTCTTCGCTTGCTTATTCCCTGTACCATTTCTGTCATACTGGTTTTTAAATCGACGTCATCTTGGCGAGGAAATTGTACCGGATACGGGTGGGCAAACTGCCATCACTTCTGTTCTGATTGGTTCATACCGTATTCCAGATCACGTCAGCCCTGGTGCTATTTATTGGGAAAGCGTTATGATTGGTCGAATGCTTCTTCTCATACTCGCTGCTATCTTAGTCAAAGACCCATTCCTAAGTTCGTTGGCTTTACTACTTCTATGCATCATTAATTTTTCATTGCATATTTATGTCCTGCCGTTTGAGCGTGTTTTACATAACCGTGCTGAAAGTATATCGTTGTTTTGCCTCGTGCTCATGGCAGTGTTTAATCTACCTTTCATGGCGTATCTCTCAGAAGGCGTACTGCCTGCCGGCCCAATGTCACATGTCATGGACGTTTTCATGTGGTGCCAAGTTGTTCTGGTCGGGTTTCTCCCTTTAATCTGTGTTCTGTTATTTTTTGTTGCTATATTTTCACAGTTTGCGAGGTTAATGTTCTATCTCACAAAAGGTATTCGGTTTGCGTTCTCTTGTCTCGCTTCTTCTCGCTGCTTTGGCAGGAACCGACCACAGGGGGAACTCGATGACCCATTAATGTGACGTACAAATTTATCACAGCTCTCGTGTGTCTTACCTCTTTCATATAGTACAATGATTGTAAACTATATATATATACCTTATCTTCATTGTTATAGCTAGATGCATAATTAACGGAACATATGATAATTTACTTTATTTATATTTAAAATTTAAAATACTCATTAATAACGATAAATACAGATCTAGATTTCGTCCTGGTTTGCATAAACATTACTGAGTAACTTTTAATTTGACTTTATTTATGTTGTCAGTAATTACTATAAAGCATTCGCATCCGAATGTTTATTCAAATATTTGAAATTTGCGGCAGACTTTCGCAAGCGACGATAAACGTAGACGCAGAAGTAAGCAGAATTGACTCAAAAGTAAGTAACCCAAGAAAAACAGCTAAACGACGCGTTACAGTTTTGCGTTCTGGACGAGGCGGACTTTCTGTTCGAACTCGCATTCGCAAACGGGGGCCGTTTCTGGTTTGAAATCGTGGTTACGCAAGCAGCAGCTATAAAATAGACGCACTGTTCATAATAAACAGTAGTCTGTTGATTCTAATTTCCAGTGATCTTCGTTCTTGGCGCTCCTTTTGGAAAACGCATGGAAATTGACGGTAGAACCATCTTGAAAGCGCCCTTTGTCTTGAATAGTATGAGTTCTCCATCAGTTCTAAAAGGTGTTTAAAGGTTTTAGTATTAAATTGTTTGCTAAGTATACCATTTGCTCATCATGCTAGCTGCACTATATGTGATTAAAACAAGCAATGTGGGGTGTTAATGCAGATACAGAGATTAGTTTGTGTGCATTATTCCTGCGATCAGGATTCGATTTTCTGCAGTATGCAGTTGTCTGCTTCAATCACTAGAATCGAAATGTTCAGATTTTAACTTCCGCTACCGCTATACCAATAATCAATCAGATGGGTTTAATCTACCCGAGTCACCAATCAATCATTGTGAGAGGTGATTGTAGTGATGGAAGTCAAACCTGAACCTCATTGTTGCCACCCATCCGTGGCAGCTAACTCCAACCTGATTCCGAATCAACTGTCTAAAAAGCGACTGTATTGGCATAATTTCTCAATTAAGGCCCAGAGGGATGGGAGGGTATTTCAGGCATAGACTCTTATTGCACAGAGAGGGAGGAATTAATAGAGAATGCGTGGGCCGTTCATTGTCAAGAGACTCTGTAAACTAACGTGATTTGCTTGGTATATATATAAATCTCTTCAAAATATATGGTTTCTTCATGATGACGGGGTGGGGGAGGGGTGGTTGTGAATTAATAAGTGTTATAAAGAGGGAGAAGGCTTTTTTGAGAGGCGGGCTTAATATACGATTTATGATGAGGCAAACAACGAACCTTCGTTGTACAGCTTTTTATACTTTCTAGCGATAACTTGACGGAATGTCCGCTGAATAATTCTTGCACCTAAATACAAAATGAAAACCATCTCATTATCATCGATACTGCATGTTGGCAATATAATATTCTCTTTGAACATCAAATATACAAGCTAGTTTTGTTCTCGAGTCTCCATGTTCTCCCGCCTATATCCGTCCACCTGTCACGTGTCCCCCACGTGATAACATAGGATATTACATCCCTCCCTTACTGGGATTTAGAGACGTGCTAAAGTCACACTAAACATAACTAGTAAAAGAACCCAAATTTAAAGTCAAATGTCAACTAAGTGTTTGCCATATAAGGTTCACTCAATGTGATTCGTAAAGTACATGCATGCATGTCTTAATACAGTCTGTCAGACACGGTGACAAGTACTGGGAGCTTATTAGTCCGACAATAAGTTCCTTATTCAGCGCTATGCATAGTCTGCTAGATGTCTTGGTGGCGCTCGAACGCGTTGAGGATAACGGTGAGGTTCTTGTTGCTGTTCCTCAGCCTGTGCAGTGTTGTCTGGTTCACCGTCCGTGTCTTCGAGGTTATCATGTTCTCCATCGGTTGAGTCGCCTTCCGTTGGTTCATCTTGTTGTCTGACGAGCTTGAAGAACGATGAGTTTCTGGTCACTGTCTTTTCTCCTCGCGTGGCGGTTACCATCGAGCCTTTGCAGCTGATTACTTTGTATGGCTTTGGTTCATACGGGGTTTCGGACTTTCGATGTGAGGGATCACGCTTTAGGACCACGGTATCGCCAGGTCGTACTCTTGATGGCTTGACATATGCTTTCGAGTCAGCATATTTCTTCATCTTTCTTTTGGCTTTCTGGTCCGTCTCTTGGATCTCGGCTGGGTCCCGTGCATTGGTGTGTACATCGGGTAGCTTCGTTCGGAGTTGGCGATTGAAGAAGGCTGTTGCTGGGGCCTTTCCAGTTGAGCTGTGTGGTGTAGCTCTGAAGTTCCGAAGGAAGTTGGTTAGTTCTTCTCGCCATGGTTTCTGCTGTGTAAGTGCAATCTTCACGATCTTCTTTACCGTCCTCATGAACCGCTCTACTTCGCCGTTGGCTCTTGGCCAATAGGGAGTGATCTTTCTGTGGGTAAATCCCAGGTTAGCGGCGAAAGTTGCAAAGGCTTCGGAGTTGAACGGCGGACCGTTATCGGATTTCAGAATTCCTGGAATGCCAAATTGTGAAAAGATGTGTTGGAGTTTAGGAATTACAGCTTGGGCTGCCACTGAACGAATAACTTCAACGATTGGATAGCGTGAGTAGTCGTCAGATACTACCAAGAGGTAGTCCCCTGTTGAGAGTTCAGCAAAGTCAACGCTTATCTCGTCCCACGCTTGATCGGGCAGAGTAGACATTTGTAACGGCTCACGTGCTGCCTCCGGGGTTGCAACTTGGCATGCGAGACAGGATTTTACTCGTTCTTCGACCATTTTGTTGATTCCGGGGAACCACACTTTCTCTCGTAGTAGGGATTTGGTTTTGGTAATGCCTTGGTGACCTTCGTGAGCCAAGTCCACGACGCGACGTTGTAGCTTGTTTGGAATCACTAATTTCGTTCCACGAATGACTACTTGGGTTGTTGTTCCAACGGTTAACTCATCTTTGAGGCGTTCGTATGTGTGAAATGTGTCAGTGTCGACCTTTGGATGCTTGGCTAGTTCATGCCACTTGCCTGATTGAACGGCGTCTATGACGGCACGGAGGGTTGGGTCACGTCCTGTGGCCTCTGCAATCATGCTGAGGGTGAGTGCAGTTGGTGTTGAAGTTGTGGCAATGTAATTTATGTACTCTTCAGCAACTTTTTCCTGTCTGCTGCAGGGTTCGGTGTGACTGGAAGGGTGCCTAGACATATAGTCTGCAGGATTTTCTTCTCCTTTTCGGTAATACACGGTGGTCTGGTATGGTTGAAGTCTGAGTGCCCATCTTTCGATGCGAGCAGGTGGTTTCGAGTTCGTGTTGCCATAGATAGCAACGAGGGGCTTGTGGTCTGTGTAGACATTGACTGGCTTGCCGTAAATGTAGAGGTGAAAGTGTTCACATGCCCATACTACAGCGAGGGCTTCGCGCTCAGTCTGGCTGTAGCGTTGCTCGGTGGTGGTCAGAGACCGGCTGGCATATGCAATGATACGCTTGACTTTGGTTGTGGGATCGATTTGCGCTAAGATGGCGCCCAGCCCAACCGGGCTTGCATCAACAGAGATTTCAGTTGTTTTCTCAGGGTTGAAGTACGCTGTGACAGGTGCATTGGCCAACACATGCCGGAGCTGGGCCAGGGCATGTTCCTGCTTGTCCATCCACTCCCAGGCATGGTTCTTGTGGGTAAGGGCTCGCAGAGGTTCAGTAATTGTGGCATATCCCTCGACGAATCGTGCACAGTAGTTGGTCATGCCTAGCAGGCTACGGACTTCTGTGACTGACGTTGGAGCTTTAAGGTTTAGGATATCTTGGACTTTCTTTGGATCGGGGGCCATGCCATCCGCACCAAAAACGTACCCGAAGAACTCAAGGCTGTTTTTGCTGTACTCGCACTTGAGTTTGTTCAAGGTCAGCCCGCGTTCTCGAAGCCGCTGAAACACTGCTGCGAGTGCTTGATCATGCTCCTTCTGGGTCTTGCCAAAAACGAGTATGTCGTCGCTGATGTTAATTGCGCCCGGGATGCCGTCAAGACTCTCGCGGATGGCGTTCTGAAAGATTTCGGCGGCACTAGATATTCCAAAGTTGAGTCGCTTGTAGCGCATGAGCCCAAGGTGGGTGCTGAAGGTGGTAATGTACCTGGATTCCGGGGCTAGTTCTAGTTGGTTGTAACCCTGGTTGAGGTCGAGTTTGCTAAAGACAGTTGCACCATTCAAATCGCCGATGATTTCCTTGATCGTTGGGGTGATGTGGCGTTCACGCTGGACTGCTGTGTTTGCACGACGCATGTCAACGCATACACGGACCTTTCCGGGTGACTTGGGCTTTGGTGCCACAACAATGGGCGATACCCAGGGGGTTGGGCCCTCCACGCGTTCGATTACACCCAGTTTTTCGTCCTGACTTAGCTGTTCCTCAAGTTGTTTGCGCACATGGAACGGCACGCGTCGGTGTGGTTGGGCAACTGGTGGTACACCTTCGTCAATATGAAGCTGAACTTGGTAATCTTTCAACTTGCCGAGTCCTTGGAACAAGTCCTGGTATTGGATGGTGAGCTGTTCAACGGTGGGAAGGTTTTGATGTGTAATGGGCTTTACGACTTTGAGTAGCTGCAGGTCGGTAGAAGTGCGCCAGCTAAGCAATGACCCACTGGTTCCTTTCACAACATAGAATGTCTCTGTACGGTTGACTGTTTCCGATGCGACGGTGGAGGTAAATTGCCCAAGGACGGGTAGGGGTGTCTCGGTCTGGTAAGGATAGACTTTGATGCGTGTTTGCTCCAAACTCGGTCGTGGGGAGAGCTTGTTGTAATCTTGCTCATCCAGAATGTTGATACTGGAACCAGAGTCTGCCATTATGGTCAGCAGTGTTCCCTCGATGGTGACGTCAAATAATGGGTGTTTCTTGCGATCCGAAGTCATGTTGTTGACGTTGATTCAGAACACGCCAACTTCGTCGCTGTCATCGCTGTAGTCAGTTTCTGCGGTGTTGTCCATCGCTCGGACGTCCTGTCGTTCGGCTGTTTGCGGGTAGCGTCGCTGACGTGGTTTGGTGGGGTTTGAACGTTGTCTGTCTTGGAGACATACGGACTGAAAGTGGTTAAGTTTTCCGCAGGAGCGACATTCCTTTCCGTATGCTGGGCAAGCAGTTTTTCCGCCTTCATGCGGGTATGTGCCTCCACAATTACGACATTTCACCCTGGTACCGGGGCTCCGGGATTGGAAGCGTGCTTTGTTGTGGTTTTTGCTACTTCCGGTTGTGAAATGGCTGACGTTCTCTGTTCGTTCTAAGTTCGCTGCTTGCGAGTCGGCTAGCTCCGCCGCTTTACCCATTTCTAGAAGTTTTGCCAGGGTTATAGTTGGATCGATTAAAGCTTTTCGTCGAAGTCGTTGCGAGCGGCCGTGTTGGATGATCTGAGATTTGATTTCGCGATCGGCATCGTGAAATTCACAGGTGAGGGAAAGTTGTTTGAGTCGTGTATAGTACGTCATAAGAGCTTCGTCGTTGTTTTGTTTGGCGTTGCGAAATTTATATTCTTCGAATACAGGGTTTTTCTTTGGTGTAAAGTATTCAGATAGTGCTTTGATTGTGACGTCTAGAACTGTTTCTCCTTCAGCCGGTTCACTGACTGTGAGTGTTTCAAAGATATCATTGACTTCTTCACCGATGTAGTGTAATAGGAGCGCCTTTTGACGTTTGGGATCATCGATGTCTGTAGCAACTATCAAATTTCGAAAACGAGCGATGTATTTCTTAAATCTGACGCCGGGTGCTCCCTGGTCCGCGTTGGGATCGAAGGAAGGGAATGTTGGCAGAGCTGTTGCCATGTTTTGTTGTGTTTTAGGCTGTTTTTAGCCGTTAAATCGAGAGTTTTAAAGCGTTTTGTTTGCTTGCTTTCCCGTCACGTGTAGACGCCTAGCGTACGTTTTTCGCTATCAAACGGCTTGGTGTTTCTGATTATGAACACAAGAGTGTACTGATCTTTCTTACTTGAGTAAGATCTTGCGCTGGGTTGTTTTGTTGTTTGTGTTAATAGATCCTCGTCGCCAATATAATATTCTCTTTGAACATCAAATATACAAGCTAGTTTTGTTCTCGAGTCTCCATGTTCTCCCGCCTATATCCGTCCACCTGTCACGTGTCCCCCACGTGATAACATAGGATATTACAGGCAATAGGTGGCTTTCATCATGTTTGATTCCAGTTCAGTGCACATGGAGGGCATTTGAACAAAAGAATCTCATTACTCTCGGTGGGATTAAAGCCTTCTGAGTTTTCGACAAAACCATCTAAATTTCCAATAACTCTGCAATTTACACTCAACTTACACCCAATGGTTACCTATATTTGGGGGCAATCGCCACTGGTAGCAAATACGAGTGTATCTACTACTACTATCTAGGCTTTTCATTTTATTGTTTCCTATTTCCGTGGATATTCGTCTGAGACCAATATAATATATCGAGATCTTTTTCATAGTGACATCAAACGGGGAAAAACACCTATAATATGATGTCCCAAGGGAAAACCTTAAGCGACAATTCGCACTACACTATATGTGAAATTTGATTGGCTCGACAACGACTTGCATTGCGAATTTCCCGGATTTGGGACATCATCGAATATACGTTTTTCCGCGTTTGACACCATTATTGCAAATTGTTGTATTGTATAACATTGGATCGAAGAAAATCGTTTTATGTCTAGAATTTAGCGAAATCATTTAATTGCTTCTATAATAGGTAAATTCAAATTGGATGTGAGAAGGTACCGTCTCACATTGTATAGCGCTATTACTTAATTCCTTATTCACTGTATACCTTTATCATTCTTTTCTTTTATTTCTTTATGTTTCTTTACTTTCTTTAGCCACAAATGTATATATTTCTGGACGATTTGCGCACCATTAGTCTAAGATGTAAGATTACATTCCCATATATCTAATTTATAAAGCAACAAGCCCTGCCAGTGAAGAAATACTTAGTAATGGTGTGAGAATGGTGTGATTTCCACTTTTCCAGACGGCAATTAAACAACGAATATTGACTGGATCTTGATTTTGTTGAATGTTAATTTATGCAATAACTGATCAAAAGGGTGAAGTTGTATTGTTGGTGTCCAAATAAAGGTCTTATCGGTTCTTAAAATGTTTCATATAAATTTCGATAAAGAAAATTCTTAAACCTTCTCTTTCCACTTCATTATCTTTGGTTGTTGAGAAACTCCATCTCTAAACAAATCAAACGAATGTATGATTTCCTTTCTGCAATAAAATCACGTTCTGTGAGAAAGCTACAGTACCTAACATTTAATAAATATGCTAATACTCTAGATAATTCCTTAACCCATGGTCGTAAAGTACACAGAATGTGTAAAGACCGTTCTATTTTGCCATATTCATAAACTAAATGAAGATGAATTGCGGCGCCAGCAGTAATTTTCATACGCCAGAATGACAATCGTATACGACTAATCATATCGTGTAGAACGACCTTAAAAGATGTAAATGTACGCACTTATTCTGTCAAAACTACACTAAGTCAGTTGACCTAAAACAATACTAAAACCTAACCTCTTAGCCCTTAGGTTAGATTTGGTTAGGCTAACCAAATGTAAAGTAGTGGCAGTTCTGGTTAATGCATTCCCGTGGCCGGGTCATTGCGCGAATTATTCTGAGCGATTTTGAAGGACGGTCATTGGTTCGTACAATCATACATTCAAAATTTTTATTAATTAAAATTCAAAATTATAAAAGGTGTGTTTGGTGCTTTGTCCGTGAAATAGCCTGGTAAAATGAAAAGATGTTAGAAGGTAACCAAAGAAAAAATGATGTCTGAAGTCCAATAAGTTTCACATATATTGCTGTAAATATAGCCTCAATTTTAAAGGATAAACTAGAAAATAGCTATGCCACAGCCCCGTACCCAGGCGCTTTGATGTTCCGTGACGCGTGCACGGGAGGACACGCGTGGGGGAAGGGTCAATTCCCGCGCGTGCGTCACGCAACCGCTTAGCACATCAAAGCGCCTGGGACGAGGCTGAGCTATGGTTGAAACAAAGTAATTTTTTCGGGTACGCCAAAAAGATTTCATGTTTTGAACGCTTTTCATCGGACGTACGAGACATAGAAAATAATTGCCTCCTAAAATGAAACCATGTATGTGGTTACCATGAAGAAATCCTCCACGAAGCTGTCGAAGCAGAGCCAGGAGAAAGCAGTTTTGGTGATAGGGGACTCTATGGTAAAGCATATTGACGGTAACAAGATTGGAAGAGCTGCACGTGGCAAAGCAGTTTCACATTCCTACAGTGGTGCCACTGTGAACCAGCTTGCGAAGAAATTTGATGAGAACCATACAGAGAAAGAGCAGTACAACACCATTATCCTTCATGTTGGAACAAATGACTTGGTGCGTGAAGAACCAAAGAAGGTCGCTGCAGACATGGAAAATCTCATCAACAAAGCAAAGGCCCACACCAACAAATTAGCAGTATCTGGTGTTATCAAGCGTTATGATGGCAAGGTAAACAATCATAAAATTGATCAATATAATAAACAGCGTTGCCAGCCTTGGGATTTTATCCCAAGATCTTGGGATTTTTTGAAGCGGTTGGGATATTTTTGGGATTTTATTTTGAGAAATGAGACCTTGGGAATTTTCTTGGGATTTTTAAGAAACAGTCAAGAAAAATAATTAAATTTTACTGATATATTAATAGTTAACAAACTAAAATAAAAAATCTTCCAACCTTGGGACCTGTCGATAAAGAGTTAACAAACTAATAGTATTCCACTGACTGTAGTTGTACAATCTCTTCATTTATATTATATAAAGTATATCGTATGGAATTTAAGCCCACATGACCAAAATTACAATTTCCGAAAAAAGGCGCGAAACGGAGAAAAAAGAGTTTTTTTGCTTTTATGCCATAAAATATGCCGAAGCAAGCAAAAAAGGATTGGTATACACAAAAGTATAATCCCTTATGGAAACATGATGAAGAATTAAAAGGTAAAATAATATTTTAAAAATATACAGACAGAGTTTTAATCTCTGTCGACATGACCCTATTAACGTATTGCTTCAAAGCGATATGCGACTTCCAGATAAATATCTTCGGTTCGGTGCATGCTATGTAGATGAAATATGTTCAATGTTATGTAG